AGCTACAATATCCCTAGTATATATTTTCAAAAAATATGTTTAAAAAGGTAAAGATTTCCATTAAAGTAGGGAATGTATTCTTCCTAGAATTCCACAGAGCTTCCCCTCTCCTATCATATCCTGTACTTCAACAGTCGAGACCCTGGTTGCATAATCTATAGCTAGTTATGCTGTTATCCTGAAGACTGTGCCTCCCTGGCTATTCAGAACCATCACTGGCTCCCTGGAAACAGGATCGGAAATCTTCTTGAACGCAATGTACACAGACTCAGACTCAAATGAGGGTCATCTATGATCCCACTCACTTGACAGCAGTGATATCCGTCCTTTACTGCTGCCGTGACTTTCTGATTTTACCTCCTAATCAATCAGGCAATGATGATGACATTTCGTCTCACATATACTTTTGGCATGTTGTCAGGAGGTTCTAGCTCCTGGAAAAAGTATCATTCTGGGCAAAATAGAGGGTTGAGGACAGGGGGGAAGACTCCACACAAGATGGGTTGACACGGTGACTTCAACAATGGCTTTGAGGAACTATTTGGTGGGGATAGGGTAAGTTTCAGAACTGTTGTTCATAGGTGACTGTGAGTCATCTTCAACTCAATGACACCTAACAATGACAATGAATTAGTTACCCGCAGTCCACATTCAACAATTTTATTTACTTTTATTGTCAAGTACAGGATCTGGATTTACCAACTTTAGGTTCTGATTCTTTCCCTTATCTATTTTGTCCATTTCTTTAGCCTTAAGCACATCACTAAGTGATCATTTTCCCCCCCAGAAACATTTCTGTGAGGGGGGAGGGGGCCGCAAGAAAAAGAGAAACTTTTCTCTTACTTTCTGGCAGGTCCTAAACAGTAATTGTAATGAATTGGGAAAAAACAAACGCAGTGCGCTCTCTAGTGGTTAAGTTATTTGTTGTGAGACTTTTCTTACACTATTTTCTCAAGAAAAATACACAATATTATGGTTTTTAAAATTTGAGTGAAAACTCTCATTTCTAAAACGAGAGATTAAAAGTCAACCATAGGAGAACAATCAGAATTTCCCAAAGGAAAGACTGTTGTCCATAGGTGTGGTCAAGATGCTTACTACTAGTAGTAATCCTATGAAGGACAGATCTGAACCTCGCCCCGTCCCGTGCCATCGTCTCCATTTCTGAAGGGCTTGAAGCCATTGTTACAATCACTGTGTTAATTTATCTTGTTGAGGATCTTCTTCTCTTTCTCTGACCTCCACTTTCCCCAGCATGAAGTCATTTTCCATGGACTCCTGACAACATGCCCAAAATATATAAGACAAAGTTTCACCGCCCTGTGTTTAAGGAGCACCCTGGTAGCACTTGCTCCAAGACAGGCTTGCTTGTACTTTTGGCAGAGATATTCAGTTCTTTTCTCCAATACCACAATTCAAAGCCATTGAGTCTCCTCTGTCATCCTTATTCATGAATAGGAAGTAATAGAAAATACCGTGACTTGGATTAGATGTACCTTAGTTTTAAACTGAATTCATTGCTCCTTAACATCTTAGAGAGGTCTTTGGCAGCAGATTTACCCAGGGCTATATGTCTTTTGATTTCTTAACTGCTGGTGCCACAGGGTATAGATTGTGGATCTGAGCAATACGAAATCGTTGACAGCTTCAATCTTCTTTCGATCTAACCATGCTGTTGTCTATTAGCTCAGTGGGCAGAAATTTTGTCTTCTTAATGCTGAGATGTAACCTACATTGAAGGCTGCTGCAAGCATTTCAAGTTCTCTTTGCTTTCAGATACAAATTTAAAAAACTATGAGATATAATCTCACCCCAGTAAGAATAGCAAAATTTAACAGAACAGCAAACAACAAATGCTGGCGAGGTTGTGGAGAAACTAGAACCCTTACTCTTGGCGGGAGTGTAAAATGGTGCAACCACTAAGGAAAGCTGTATGGTGCTTTCTCAAAAAATTGCAAATAGAAATACCATTTGACCCAGCAATTCCACTACTGGGAATATACCTCACAGAAACAG